GTGAAACCTGCCGACGCTGGCAAATACGGTGTGGGGTATTTCCAACCGGACGACTGCGACCATGACACGACCCCGTGCGAGTTCACGCCCTACCCAGAGTACGACAACCTCAAGAAGGCGTACACTACGACCAAGAACTCGACCGTCACGTACGACAGCTACACTCCGTCTCGAACTAAGATCCTTTCCTGCCCCAAGTCCATGTCCACGGACCTCCCGCCGATGCCAAATGGTACCGTCTGTCTGTTTAACAACAGGCTGTTGCTGTCAACAGCAACTTGTTCGTCTGCAAATGTTGAAGTTGAGCTAACCAAATGTTCGTGATTCATGAATTGAAGTGGAAATTCTCGAGTGCACCGCGTTGCAGCCTGTGTGCAAAGGCATCACCGCCAACGCGTACGAGCATTCGGACGCCAGCACGTCCGCAGGCGAAAAGCGCACGCCCTCGAACGGTAATGGCGCCTCGGCTCAAGCCTCGTCAAGAAGTGGCAACATGAAGTCAATTGCCTCAGCCACGGTAACTTCAGCTATTACAGTTGCCTTTTCACTGGCAATGGCGACAATCACTCTGTTCAACATGTAGTCTTCAATTTCGAAATGAACAAAATACAGAAGTTCCTTTGTGCATCCGTATTATCGAATAAGATTTGAAATTTTATTTACGGAAAAGCCATTTTGTATGAAGCGAACCTTCTATAGTAAATATGTCTGTATATTAGAATCAAAATCCACCGCACACACTGAGTCAGCCAATCAGCCTCGCTTTGGAACAATTCACTGTTGCCGCGCAAACGTGGGCGAGCGGACGCCACAGTCAAACACTCAAAGAAGCATACAGATGAAAATTAGATATGACCCCAATGTAGATCTCAGGGAACTGATAGTAGTCAAAGAGTTCGATGCTGTCGTTCAGATACTTCGGTTCGACGCGCATGAAAGCGCTTAGACAAAGGCGATCTGACTAAATATTCGAGATGGAAGTCGATCGCTCGTCTAGATGACAGACTAGATGTGGTCATTCCGAATTCGCTACACTTGGCCATAATGTCGTTCGGCTCGCGAGTTCGCTCTCTTTCTGCAGCTGCAGCGTTATGCATTGCTTCGAGCGTCTACCCAGTAGTTGCATGGCTTCCACCAATTGTCACTAAAGGCAACAAGTTCTTCGACTCGGACACTGGAGTCGAGTTTCGACTGAAAGGGATGGCCTACTACCCCCGACCCAACAGTGGAGAAATGGCCGATGTCAGCAACTACGACTGGGCTGCGGATGAGCACCAGGCTGTGTGGAAACCTCATTTGAAAGTGATGGAAGACCTCGGTGTCAACACGATTCG